AGGAGATCTTTATTGCAGCAGTGGAAAAGAGGAGAAAAGGGAGGGGGGGGCGAAGGAGGGAGTTTTTATAGCCCAAATCTAATGGGGTCTCTGGATCTGGCCCTGGTTGGCACAGGGGAGTTAAGTGTTCCACCTTGAGCGGGAGTTGAGTGTTCAGCCTTGACGCAAACAGGTGATAAAGGACCAGACAGAAGGGGGTTTGAGTGCGAGGGCTATCCTACAGCTAACATTTGTTCAGCCTGCCCTGCAGATAACATAGTTCAGGCTGCCCTGCACCCAACAAGCCCTATGTTGGGTCACTCTCTGGTACTGAGGAAAAGACACCTAAGGAGTAAACTCTAGGAGCCCACCATGCATTGCTGTCCCCAAGGCTCAGTGTGGAAACTCTTTGTCCTTCAACACCTTAACATTCACCAGAGGGACACTCTGACCTGTAGTTAGTTACTTTGTGCTTTTACTTAAATAAGCCATCAAATGCATAAACCCTTTCCCGGGGAGACTAACTAAATGAGTCTTTTTTTTTTTTTTTCTAAAGTTTCTGTATTCGATTTTTATTGCTACTGAACACATTACCACAAACAGTGGGTTTAAAACAACACATCTATTATGTAACAGTTCTGCAGTTTAGAAGTCTAAAATTGCTTTGGGTTAGCTAGACCCCTGGTGCCAGCTAGCTGTGTTTCTTTTTGGAGGATCTAGGAGAGAATCTGTTTCCTTGTCTTCCTCCTCTTCTACAGGTGGCCTGCTCCATTCCAACTTAAGAGTCCATAGTGGGGCTGGGGATGTGGCTCAAGCGGTAGCGCGCTCGCCTGGCATGTGTGCGGCCCAGGTTCAATCCTCAGCACCACGTACCAACAAAGATGTTGTGTCCACCGAGAACTAAAAAATAAATATTAAAAATTCTCTCTCTCTCTCTCCTCTCTCACTCTCTCTTTAAAAAAAAAAAAAAAAGAGTCCATAGTGGCTTGATTCTTTCTCATGTTACCTCACTCTCCTGCTGACCCTTATTTACCGCCTTCTACTTCAAGGGTCCTTATAATAGTAGGCCTGCCTGGATAATCCAAGATAATCTTCCCAACTCAAGGTCAGATAGATAGCTAGCAAATTCAATTACATCTGCTGCCTTACTTCTTCTTTATCATGTAGCATAAGATACTTAAAGATTCTGGAGATTGGAATGTAGACATCTTGGGAGGGTGGGGGTCATTATTCCCAGTGACTCTGGAGGCTGGGGCCGGAGGATTGCAAGTTCGAGGTCAGCCTCAGCAACTCAGTGAGGACTTAAGCAACTTACTGAGAACCCGTCTCAAAATAGAAAAAAATTAGTCTTTCTCTAAGTGTGACCATCAGAGATATTCCTCATGTATATTTTCCTCATTCCTCACACACATCACCTCTGGGTGTGCCAAAACAAACACAACTCCCACAAAACATCCATATGACAAACAGTTACAACCCTAGAAAGGACAGAAGCATCCAAGCCCATCTTGACATGGGTCTCCTCCTTCCCAGTGCTCTGCAGCTTCTCACTGTCAGCATTCCTACAGGGGTTTTCTCATGGATAGCTTCAAAGCCCGGAACTTTGATTTACATAATATTCAAGAGTTAAAAATCTTTTCTGACATACAATGATTACCTAAGATATTGAGTACCTTGTTCAAAATATTTTTCTGTAACCTTAGTCAATCATGATTAAGCTTTTAGGTTTTTACCTCAATCACTAGGTGCTAAGGGACGCAACTAGACTACATCACTCCTGACCTGTTATTCACCTCTAACTTAAAAGCATACCTATAATTATTTTATTAACCTTTAACTTTAAAGCATACTTATTATTGGTAAGCTTTCTTACTTCTAGATTAAAATCCCAGTAAAACACACTTGAAGTAGTGAAAGTCTATTATTTAAAAGCCTACTACTCTGAAGTGCCTCTAAACTCTATGTTAATTTTACATTATTCTATTTTATTTTCCAAGGTAATTTCCTGTTTTCATATGACTTATTCAACTGCTTTCTTAAAGAACTTCCTTGATCCTTGGTCAAAGCACACCAATTCTTATGTTTTTGTAATCTTTAACTAAAGGGCAGGCTTTACACTTCAACCCACTTGTCATTTATATTAACTATGTGTTTTCCATTTTCATCATAAGTTTCTGCATAAGGCAAAGGAGAGTCTATTGGTTGGGGAATGTATTTTTATCAGCCTCTTGTCCTCGAGGGGTACCATAAGCTACACGGTGGTCCTGGTACTGTGGGCACAGCAATTGTTTTTCTGTAGCTGGGCTGTTGTAAGGTTGTGGCTTTCGGATGGGGTTGGGGGGGGGATAGTGTAAATTGTTAACCGTGGGATAAATATTTCTGTTGTTTAAGCTTGAGGAATAACACCATTGTGTGTATCCTGAGAGATACCGAAATGCACCTCATGGCATGTCTCAATTGCATCCTTCATCTCATTCTGGGACTTTTCCTGCAATCTCAGGCAATACATACTTCTATTATTGGTTGATGTATGCCCTGTTATCCATATCATGAGGATCATAAACAAAACACTTAACATTCCTAATAGTTCCTGTTTATAGATGGTGTGGTGCTGAGGGCCATTGCCAAGTAGGAATGACGCATCGAAATTTCCTTGCCAGTGTACCCCATGTTGCTTAGAGGAAGGACTCGTGGAAATGGACTTGCCTTGGACATTCGCTGTGACATTGCATGTGTGTTTGAGAAAGGTGACCCTGCTCAAGGACCAGGGTGGATCCAGGTTTAGGGTGTATCCTGCAGGTTTTAGGAAGTATCCCACTCCTTGGGTTTAGGGTGTTCCAGGTTTAAGACAATCTGGGTTAAGGCAGGTCCAGGTTTAAGGTTATTCCTGCTGGGAATAGGGCATATCCTGCTGCCTGAGTTCCCCGTTGAGTTCTCGTGGAATTCAAAAAGTATTTGGGACGTGAATTGGGCGGCAGAACTTGGATTTCCCCAGAACGTGTTTGTACAGGGCCGGTGTGAGTTCGGGAATAAAGAATTGCTGTTTGAATCTACAAAGCTGTGAATGGCTCGTGATCTTGTGCCCAGCCAGACTGCGGCAGTGTGGCCCTGCTGCAGCATCCCCCACGCTGTGACTGTTAGGTGCAGGGCAGGCTGAACTATGTTATCTGCAGGGCAGGCTGAACAACTGTTAGCTGCAGGATAGCCCACACACTCAAACCCACTTCTGTCTGGTCCTTTATCACCTGTTTGCCTCAAGTCTGAACATTCAACTCCGCTCAAGGCTGAACACTTAACCACCCCCCTTGGGCCAACAAGGCAGCTTGCAGACCTAGAGGCCCCACTAGATTTAGGCTATAAAAACTCCCTCCTGCAGAGCCCCTCTCTCTCTTGCTCTCTCTCTCTTGCTCTTGCTCTCTCTTTCTCCTCTCTCTCTCTCTCTCTCTCTCTCTCTCTCTCTCTCTCTTTTCTCCTTTGTTGCACTGCTGCAATAAAGATCTCTTGTTTGCTCCAAGTGTTGTGGTCACTTTCCTTTCAGTGACCTGTCAGACAGCAGGTGCAGGAACGCGCCTTCACCATTTTAGCACCACATAAAGGTTTATTGACAACTAAAAAAATATATTTTTTAAAGATAGAGTGAGCGAGAGAGAGGGAGAGAGAGAGAGAGAGAGAGAGAGAGAGAGAGAACTTTTTTTAATATTTATTTTTCAGTTCTCGGCGGACACAACATCTTTGTTGGTATGTGGTGCTGAGAATCGAACCCGGGCCGCACGCATGCCAGGAGAGCACGCTACCGCTTGAGCCACATCCCCAGCCCCTAAAAAAATATTTTTAAATGTGCAGCTCCCCTATCTCAGAATGAAAAATAAAAAAGGGCTGGGGATGTAGCTTAGTGGTAAAACACCCCTGGGTTCAATTCCCAGTACAAAACAAACAAATGTGTGGCTCTTTATGTATCAATTATGCCTCAATGAACAGTAAAAAACAAAACCAAACCCTCCAGTCCTTCTTTTGCTTAGTTACCTGGTGTCCAGGTTCTTCTTGATGCTCCAGCACAGACTACTGGTTTTCATATCTAAGTTCCTTTTTGGGGGGATACTGGAGATTGAACTCAGGGGCACTTGGCCACTGAGCCACATCCCAGCCCTATTTTGTATTTTATTTAGAGACAGGTGTCACTGAGTTGAGAAACACCTTGAAAAACCAGCCTCTACCTCAGAGCACAGCTTGTCCAAGGAAGGGACATCACCTTTGTCCTTGGAAAGACCCACAGAGCACTCCTAGGCACATTCCCACCCTGCTAAATTGTTTATCTACAAATAACAGGAGAGATCTTCTGCACCAGGTGTCCCAGACTCAGTCAGGCTAGGTGGGGATCCATAGCAACCCCCTAGCAGCCATCAATCAGCATGAGACAGGGAAATACCTGGATGCCAGATGACCCTCCCAGTAGTTTATGGTGTTGGGAAACCATGTAGTTCAGCACAAACACCCCTCATAGGTTAAACCAATCACTTCAAACAAATCCCCCTCTTGTATTAACCAATCACCCCTACCCAACTTGTTCCCGCCAGTGAATGTGCTAATCACGTTTTAGAGTTGTTTTATGATTTTCCCGCGGTCTGTGATGATTTGCTAAGCGATGCTATGATGTATGCGAAGTCCCTGACTTCCCCAAAGAGTGTATAAAACTGCTGCAAACCCTGGGCTGGGCCTCTCAGGGTCACCAGCTGCTGTGTGTGCCCGCGGAGGGCCGAGCTAGCTTGCAATAAAACACCTCTTTGCTGCTTACATCGATCTTGGTCTCTGATGGTCTTTTGGGGGTCCTCAATTTGAGCATAACACTTACTCCCCTTTTTCTTGGGGGTTGTTATTTTTCATATCCTCAGGCTGAGGAGGTGGGCCGTGGGCCTCCAGCCAATCAGGGAGTGGAGGCTGGCCTCTGGGAGGCATCCCACCAGAAGTGGGGCGTGGGGAGCACGCTTGGCGCCGCCCAGTGCTCCTTTCCGGGTCTATGGCGCTCTAAGCTCCCTCTTCCAGGGAGGTCTGGAGGGGTTCCGTCCCCTGTGGCTGGGTCTGTCTCAGCGAGCTCACCTGGAGCTCCCAGAAGCCTGAAAATGGTGAGTGCGGAGCCCACGGGAAGGGGACCCAGCCTCCCACGGCAGCTCCGCAGTCCCGCGCCTACTGCCGCGGGTCAGGCAGCCGGGATGGCGTCCTGTCCTGTGGGTCCTCTGACCCGGGGACCCGCTCTGGGCAGTTGGGCGCGCGCATCCCCGCGCCTCCCGGGACTGCGCGGAGAGGGCGGCGCCAGGCAGGCTCCCAGCTCGCGCGCGCGGTTCATGCCCCGCAGAACCGAGTCCTGTCCCTCCTTCCTCCGCGGAGGGACCTGATGGCCTTGATTCTTCTCGGTGTTTGGGAAGCGGGTTTCGAATCCGTGAAGAATTCTCCCCCCAAACTAGGAAAACCGACCTCAGTGAGGCGGTTGCTGTGCGTGGCGAGGGTGGGAGTAGAGGCCCACGAGAAGGAACGACCCGGTTTTAAGACCGAGTTGTACAGGCGGGTGGGTTCTTTGCCTTTGCAAATTCAAAGAATGAGCTCCTGGGGGTGGGGGGTGGGGTAGTAAGATGTACGTAAAGCCGGGAAAGGCGCCCTGGGGTAAAGGGGCCCGCGGAGGGTACCGTGTCTGTTCGCCTCGGTTTTCTAGGTTTCTGTACTGGCTCGCAGTGGTGATTGATGGGGAGGGGGTGTGCTAATCTGGGCGTGAGCCAGTCAAGGTCTCTGAGCTTTGAATTTAATAAGCCAATCAGAAGTGCATAATTTCAGTCCCTTATTCACATAAGGACGGGTCTCACCCGGTGGTCTGTTGGAGGGAGGAAGCACGTCGGGTACCGGTCTGCTTATGGGCAGCAGTTGCCAGGGGTAAGGGCAGGGTGAAAGGAAAATGACCACAACACTTGGAGCAAACAAGAGATGTTTATTGCAGCAGTGCAACAAAGGAAAAGAGAGAGAGAGAGAGAGAAGTAAGAGAGAGCAAGAGCAAGAGAGACAGAGCAAGAGAGAGAGGGGCCTGCCAGTGTCTTGGCTGGGCACAAGATCACAAGCCACTCACAACTTTGTAGATTCAAACAGCAATTCTTTATTCCCGAACTCACACCGGCCTCCACACACGTTCAGGGGAAATCTCCGTTCTCCCTCTGCCCCATTGACCTACTCCACGAGGCTTTTTTCCAAATACTTTTTGAATCTCACGGGAACTCAAGCAGCAGGAACGCCCTATTCCCAGCAGCAATAATCTTCCACCTCCAACTTCCCTAAAACCCATATTGTCTTAAACCGGGAACGCCCTAAACTCAAGGAGCGGGATTTCCTCAAACCTGATCAGCTCTAAACCTGGATCCGCCCTGGTCCTTGAGCAAGGTCACCTTACATGCAATGTCAACAGCAAAATTCCAAGGCAAGTCCATTTAACATGGGGTACGCTGGCAAGGAAATTTCTATGCCTCATTCCTATTTGGCAATGGCCCTCAGCAGGGGCCCTGCAGGAGGGAGTTTTTATAGCCCAAATCTAATGGGGCCTCTGGGTCTGCAAGCTGCCTTGTTGGCACAAGGGGGGTTAAATGTTCAGCCTTGAGTGGGGGTTGAGTGTTCAAACTTGAGCAAATGCTGAGGGCCATTGCCAAGTAGGAATGACTCATCGAAATTTCCTTGCCAGCATACCTGGACTTGCCTTGGAAATTCGCTGTGACATTGCATGTGTGTTTGAGAAAGGTGACCCTGCACAAGGACCAGGGTGGATCCAGGTTTAGGGTGTATCCTGCAGGTTTTAGGAAGTATCCCCCGCTCCTTGGGTTTAGGGCGTTCCCGGTTTAGAACAATCCGGGTTTAAGGCAGGTCCCGGTTTAAGGTTATTCCTGCTGGGAATAGGGCATATCCTGCTGCCTGAGTTCCCCTTGAGTTCTCTTGGAATTGAGAAAGTATTTGGGACGTGAATTGGGCAGCAGAACTTGGATTTCCCCAGAACGTGTTTGTACAGGGCCGGTGTGAGTTCGGGAATAAAGAATTGCTGTTTGAATCTACAAGGTGTGAGTGGCTCGTGATTTTGTGCCCAGCCAAGACTGCGGCAAGCAAACAGGTGATAAAAGGACCAGACAGAGGGGGGTTTGAGTGTGTGGGCTATCCTGCAGCTAACATTTGTTCAGCCTGCCCTGCAGGTAACATAGTTTGGCCTGTGACAGGGGGGCAGCATAAAATCCTCTGGCTATTTCCTGCTTAATGGTGGGACCTAGGAAGGAAATTGGAGGAATGTTTGGGGGACAGGTCTGGGAATACCAAGGCAGTTAGAAATAACATCCAGTGGCTATAGACAGTTATTTTGGCAGAGACAAAGTCCCTAAAGGTTCCTTGAAGCCACAAGTCCTCAATGGCATCAAACCAGTCCTGGATGGAGGAGATTCTTGGTATCAGCCACTGGTCCTGTAGCAGGGACTCTAGGAAGTATTGGAGGTGGCTTGGTTGAACCCAGTAATGTTAAGGGTGACAGCCCAATTGCAGCCAGTGGAAGGGCAATCGCCTTGATCCATAAATTGAGAGTGGGTGGTGTCATCCTGGTGTCAAGTCACTTGGATGTTAAAGCACCATCTGTGGTTGGGATAGAAACTTGAGAGAGATTAATGATTAGTAAAAGAAGAAGAGAGTTGGCAAAAAATTTTGAGTTTGGTAGGTATGGTGGAAGTCCAGGACTGGACATTTGGAACAGGTGCCTTTTTAAGGTGGAAGACATGGTAACAGGGGGAGTGGCCCAAAATCTTGGTCACCATTGGAGTAGTAATTCTGAGTCTATGGGGTCCTGTCCATCATTCTTGAAGTAAGACTGAGTCATCCAGTTGAAGAGGGTCCAATTCAGTTGGTGGTTGTGCTGGGATGGAGGCAATGAATGGAACAGGAAGGCACTGGTCTGCATGTTCCCTTAGGAGTTTGCATAGAAGTGTGAGATTAGGAGGTAGGACACAAGGGGAGGAGGAGAGATTGGAAAGCTTTGGTTGATTAAGAAAGGGCACCCAGAGAGTAGCTCAAAGGGGCTAAGGCCTGAGGGAGCTCTTGGGGCTGCCTGAATTCAGGTGAGGGCCAGTGGCAAGAGATTGGGCCAGAAGAGCCTGAGTTCAATAGCATGTTTAGTGAGATGATCCTTGAGAATGCCGTTAGGCCTCTCAACCTTACCCAAGGATTGGGGTTGGTAGGAGATGTGGAGCCTCCAAGTGATGTTGAGGCCTTTGGAGACTGGTTGAACAACCTGAGAAGTGAAGGCCGCACTGTTGTCTGACTGGACGGAGGCGGGAAGTTCGAACCTGGGAATGATCTGCTGGATGAGGATGGAGGTGACAGTGTCAGCAATTTCCCTGGATGTAGGGAAGGCTTCTATCCAACCTGAAAAACTATCAACCAAAGTAAGTAGGTAGCGAAGCTTTTGTGCCTAGGCACATGAGTGAAGTTGATCTACCAGTCTTTGCCTGGGTGGTGGCTCCTCATCTGAGGTGTGGGGAGTTTAGGTTTGATGCTTCCTTGTGGGGATACTGTAGAGCAGACAGAATAAGCAGAGTGGACCTGCTGGAGAGTAGTTCTCATTCCTAGGAAGTGAAAGAGGGGTTGTGAAAACTGGACAAAGGGGTTAGAGAGGGTTTTAGATGGGCACAGAGGATCTGGAGCCAGAGGAGTTGGTCATGAGTCGCAGGTCTCCATCTTGGGCATCAGGGCTGGTAGTGATTGACTGACTGGTGAGTTTGTGTATCTGATCTTGAAGGAACTTCTGTAGGCAATTTAATAGACATGGTCTTATTAGGAGAAAGATAAAGAGGACTGACTAATAGGGGTCCTGTGAGGGGGAAGAGCCAAGGCCTTACTTGACTGAACATTCCCCATGGATCCTGTTGGCCTAGTTGCTGTCTCCTCTTTTCTAGCTGTTCTTGTCTTTCATTATTCCTAGGAATGACTTTTTGGCTTAACTGTTTTTGGTAGGTGTCTAAGATCAAGTTGGTCAAAATTGACTTTATTTCTCTCTATTGTTAAGAGTCAGCCGAGTTCCCATAGGGTTCGCTCGTGGGGGAACTTGAGAGCAGCTTCCTAGTTCTGCCAGTGCCGTTTGCGCTAGGATGGGTCCAGGTCTTGCTTGACCATGTGGCTTCCCTTGGAAGCATCAGGGATGTCTCCTGTCTCCAATGACCCTCCTATTCACAGCATGTGCACTGATTGGCTTT